GCTCAAAATTGTACGTATAATCCTAGCTATATACTTTAAATGTATAAACAAAGATTATGCAAAAAAACATAAGATAAATGGAATGCAATGCATCAAAGTGTTGACAGTAATCTTCCTTGTAGGATGAGCTTACACATAATGATTTTTTGTACATTTATTTCCTAGGTTTTTTGCATTGCAAATGTTATCACTTTTATAATCAGGATATGGGCGTAAAGGAAATTATTTTTAAAAGCCAAAGCACTTTTGTTTTATTAGTTTCTTATACATTTCTTTCTTTTTTGCATTCTTCCAATTTTACATGCATGTATGTGGTAATATGAATAACTGCTTGGAAGACAACACTCTGTATGACAACAAACACTGTGAAATTCAGATTACTTTATTCAGTGAAAATCTGTATCACTTGTAGTTTTTTGTTTTAATTCTAATTTGTAGTCTCTTTAAAAAATAGAAAAGGATAATTAAACGTGAGGAAAAGCTTACTGAGCAAAGGAAGGCCAGAGTCTGATATGAGAATGTTGATTTTTGTATCCTCTGGGGCACTAAGATAAAACCTTTCTAAATCAGGACACTGAACTTTGATTCCTGAGGCCCTGAGAAATTTCAGGTTCAGGCTCCAAAAAGGTTCAAAGGCCACTGGAGCTTCTATCAGAAATGTTTCTGTATGAGTTTATGTGCGTTTTTCTCAGGAAATAGTGTATACCTTCCAAATATTTAAACAAATTCTTGACCACAAAAGTTAAAAATTCGCTTCAAAAAGTTGACTGGCTAGTGAATCGATTTAGTCCAATTATAATTCATGTAGTCAAACTGTAACACAAGGGTTTTGTTCTCCTCCCTCCTTAACCAGACACTTGATATTCTGTCTGAAATCCTGTTGACAAGTCTTACAGATATAAATCTAGTGCACTTGTTGCCCATCAGTTTAGGATTCTTTTGCTTATTGTGAATCTACAAAGTGCAGCTCTGCTAGCAATTGTAATGGCACCAAATGACACTAGAAAATGCTGGATGTCAAGAGTTGGCACTGCCAGCTGCTGGCCACTGCCTTCTGGTGCTGGCCTGTGCCAGGCATAATAGATTGACTGTTCCAGGTGCTGCTCTGCTGCTGCTGCTGCTGCTGCTGCTGCTGCTGCTGCTGCTGCTGATCTTTGTTGGCTGCTGGTCTGTGGAGCTCTTCAGTGCTGATAGCCCCTAGTGTGTATTGCTCTTTCTTTTGAAACGACTGCTCTGTCCACACTACTCAGGATGAGAATGCCATGCAGATTTGCAAGACTTGTGGTGCCTACACTACTGGAGAAGTAAATCACGAGCAGATTTAGAGGAACACCAAAGTATGTTTCATGGGGCATGAGCTGCGGCACAGCAGGGCCAGTACACTGGAGAGAGTCTTCTTAGACTAAGGAGAGAAGTGTAGGGGGAGCACTGCTTATGTGGCAGCTGCAGCCTGTGAGTGGTCCAAGTAGAGGCCTGTGGTTGGTGCAGAGGTCCAGGATAGATATAGTTGTCAGGGCTGCCATGCAATGAGGGGCAGAGCTAAAACCAGAGAATCTTCTGGTAGGCCAGTTGTGGGTTTGAGAATGTTAACAGTGGGCCCAGGCCCCTCCCATCCTGATCTTAGCTACATCAGGGTGTCCCCTTACTTCCTCTGAGAGGCAGCAGTCTGACCTGGAAGGCACTGGGGAGGCACACCACACTGATATGCAGGCTGCACCCATGCTGGAGTGGAGTAGAGATCAACTAGTACATAGCCCAGGAAGACACTGAAGCAAATTGTCCCAGTCCAGGGCGGGCGAGATAGTGCAGCAGACTAAGCGTCTGCTTAGGCAAGCACACAGACAGGGGTTGGATCCCTTGTATCACATGCAGTGCCAGCCCAGCCCCTGGGCATGCTGAGTCAGCCAATGTGACCACCACATGCCTGTAATCCTCGCTCTGGGGATGCTGACAACAAGAGGATCACTATGAGTCTGAACTGCGTAGTGAGTCCTTGTACCAAATACCTTTTAAAAAATGTCCCAGTCCATTGGCCAGCTGAGGAGTGGCAAAAGGAAGAAAAGGGGAGGGGAGCTACAGCTGCAGTCACCTTGGAATCTGACACAGGGCCTAGTCACAGGTCTCAATAACATGAGAAGGGCTGATAAGATAACTTGGCAGTCTAAGCACCTGCCTGGTAGACACAAGAATCCAGGTTCAATCCCCAGTACCACATACCAGGCCAAGCATTGTCCCACATGTCTTTAATCCCAGCACTGGGGAGGCTGAGACAAGTGGATCATTATGAGTCTGAGCTGCATAGCGACAACCTGTACCAAATAAATAACATGAGAAAAGTAATCATATATTATAAAAATAATAACTGCTAATGCTGCCTCAGTTTACTAAGAACTTGTGAATATGATCTAATTTAAATCTTAGCATAACCATGTGTTATGAAATGGTGCTATCAGTTCATTTTCACGAATAAGAAAACTAAAGGTCAGATTGAAGAAATACCTGGTACATAGACAGGTATTTAAATTTAAAGCAGCCAGTTAAATATCTCCTGACTCCTGTTCACTGCTATTTACACTTCGCAAAGGCTCTTTCTTTTCATTCCTCCATTTCTGCCAAATATGCTTGGATGCCCTTCACCCAAATCAAAAGTTTGTTCCCTAAAAGCTGAATGAAGGGTACACAATGACTCTTCCATTTTTGCAAATTTTGAGACAGATTATTTTGAAATAAAAGGTCATAATAAAATAAAAGACCCAATAAAACTAAAAATTCACTGACTTAAACTAAAATAAATAAGAGAAATTATAAAAAGGCCCCTGAGCCTTGGACCTGCTTCTAGTACCAAGCACTCCCTTGCCACCAAGCCTTCTTCCACGCATGAACCACAAGGGCTAAACTCCCTTAGTGGCTAAAATCAACAATAGGAACTTAGTTTTTTGCCACAACATGCGCGCGCACACACACACACACACACACACACACACACACACTGAGCATTGTTTTCTTTTCTTTTTTTTTTGTGGTACCAGGGATCAAACTAGGAACCTTGCATTTGTCAAGCAGGCACTTATGCTACTGAGCTATCACCCCAGCCCCTGAACACTGTGTTCTCTAAGGAGGTGTGCCTTAATCAACCAGCCATGGCAGAAGTTATTGGTCAATCTGTTGGACAAGACATCACTAGCTGAAAAGTAGAAACAAATCAAGAGATTTTTTTTCCAGTTGCTTTTAACATCTAGTAAAAATCTTTCTACCCAGTTTCTTTCCTGAGTCATGTAGTTATTTGGTTGTCTTATGGGGACTTAGCTGAATTTGATCAAAGAGTGTTCTCTTTTCATAAAGTTCAACTCAAGATCCTTTAAATCAGGCTCCCCCTGCATCAAATACAAGGTTTTGAGGTGCCCAAGGAGAATACTACCATGTAATAGAAGGAATCAAAAGCCATAACTTAAGGAACCTAAAAGCAGAACCAAGCCAAATTACCAATTATTTCCAGACTTCGAGTCCACGTTCAACTCCATTCTTTAGCCACAGTTAATGGTGCCACTCTTGCAAATGCGGGAGAGCTACCAACACCTACCTGTTTGACCTGCTGGCCTCCGCGGAAATACTGTTCAGTGGCACTGCATCACTAAAGAACCTGAGTTCTCCTCTGATAGAGGTGAATTTTATGAAGCCCAGGTGAACAAGGGAACCAAAGAAGGAAGTCTCTAAATTCCTTTTTCCTGTTTCCTAAAAATAAAAATATAACTTGCCATGTGATGTTCTAGTCAACTGATTGATAAAAAGAGAGAAGCAGACCATAAAGCCCCACTGATTAGTAAACATCTGACACATATAACATAAGAACACATAATTTTTAATTAATTTTATTAAGAAACAAATAGTAATAAGACAGTTTCAAAACAGGATAGTAGGACAGTTGCAATAATTAGTACATTGCATATTGTTGTCTTCGTAGTAGTAATTCATAGCACACAATGCAGACATGATATCCTGTCCAAACACTATTAGTACAAATCTTACTTCTCATTGAATTAAGAGAAAGTAGCTGTATATCTATCCTATTTTGTGTATACAGATACAAAATACTCCTTCATTTATATCCCCCTTTTTCATTCAGTTTTGTCAGAGATGGGTGTTCAATTGCCATTTTAATATTGTAGGTGCATGAATTCAGCAAAATAATCCAATATAGTCCAGTAGTCATAGTGGGTTATCTGTAGGACCGTGCAGACCTCAAAAGTCATCTCTGAAATTGCTGGGTTACAGAACTTGTTCCCTATTCTAGCTGTGCTTTCTACCACCCTCTTTGTTTTTCTTTCCAAAATTTTATTGAGAAACAAATATCAATAAGATAGTTTCAAGTCAAATTAGTAGGACAGTTTCAATAATTAACACATTGCATACTGTCTTCCTAGTGGTTATTTGTTTTACAAGTTGCAGACACGCTATCCTATTTACAAACACTATTAGAACAAATCCCTCTATTCATTGAATTAAGAGAATGTAGCTGTATATCTATCCTAACCACTTTGAATACACAGATACAAAATGGTCATTCATCTGTATCCCCTTTTTTGTTTAGTTCTGTCATTTAAATATTATACATGTGGGAACTCAGCAAAATATTCCAAAATAGTCCAGTAGTCCATAATAATATTGGGTCTTCTGCTTGACTGGCAATGTCAGAAGTAAGAACACATAATTATTGAAAATTTCAGCAGTTTATTTGGAGCTTGATCTGAAGAAAAGATAATAAAAAGTTGTATTGAAAAGGTAGAGAATATACAAGTCCTGGGAATTAATACACAGCCTTGGAGCACACACTTGGGTAAGGAAATAAAGCCAGCTGGTATCTGAGGGACTGAAACCACAGGGATTTGGAGGCAAGAGAGATTCCATCACTGGAAAATCAAGAAAGATTTCAGGATTGTGAGTACATGAGATTAAGCATCAAGGAAGTGCTTAAAGTGCATTTTGTATCTCTTTTTTTGTAGGCCCATAACAGAAACCTGCTTTCCATAGATTTTGATCATATAACTCACACCGGCAAGATCTATGATGACCATCGAAAATTCACCCTTCGAATTCTTTATGACCAGACTGGGCGGCCTATTCTGTGGTCTCCTGTTAGCAGATATAATGAAGTGAACATCACATATTCACCTTCCGGATTGGTTACATTCATTCAAAGAGGAACGTGGAATGAAAAAATGGAATATGACCAGAGTGGAAAAATAATTTCAAGAACGTGGGCTGATGGGAAAATTTGGAGCTATACCTACTTAGAAAAGGTAAATATGAAGAAGACCAATTTCAAGTTTCTGCATGAGCATATTGAAAGTAGCTGTAATTATCCACCTTGGTGAGGACCTACAGAAAAAAAAAATCTATATTCCAGCTGTACTATAGAAGTAAAAAACAACTAAAGTGGTGAGGTTAAAATGTGTTTTCCAGCAGAAATTTATCCCTTGTCCCACCTTCTGCCCCCAACAGCTCTATTGAACTGAAGTTAGCTTTCTCCTCAGTTGAGCATATTTGTTCATGTTCTTGAAAAGGTAAGTTTATTATCATGAAAGTTCACACTGAGGCAAAATAGCTAGAAATTTATAAAACTGTGTGTTAGTGTGTTTCAGCTCTAGGGCAAAGACTCTTACCCAACAAATAAGGAATTCTGTTGCCCTAGTCAGTGAAATTTTAATCGTGTCCATTTGAGGACTAATTTTCAAAAGTAACAAGAGTCTCAGGGAGCAGTGGCAGAGAGGCCTACTTGGTAATGGCCCTTTGTGCATGGTGAGCCTCTGGTAGCATCCCCAGTGGGAGTGTGTGGCCTCTGTGTGGTAAGAAAAGGATCTGATGCTCATGGGAGGAACCATTTGTCAAGCAGCCCCTGCACAGCAAAATGGTTTCCGGTCAGATTTGTGCACAGGAGAGTGAAAGCAGCTGACCGCTGGCTGCCGTCTACATGCCTGATCTCCTTGGACAGTGCTTCTTGTTTCCCAAGTTTCTCCATCCAGCTCAATTCCTTGGTCCTGAATTGATTGGGGGGAAAATTGGGAAATATTTATCCTTGAAGATTCAAATATAATCAGTGTAGCATAACCCATAGAAGTTCTGAAGTTCTGGTTGCTTACAGCTCATGTGGCAAATGTCACTATTTGTGTTAAGTGATGCAACCCTTTCTGATACACCCCTCAAAGTTAAATGAAAAATAGTGTGCCAGTGGCTGTACGTCATTATAAAACTAATTTAATACTTGCCAGAGTCAGTTACTGGAGAATTTACCCAGTTGAAAATGCCTAAGAGATAAAACAGAGTTCACTTGGAATACATGGTAAAAGGAGGGGGCTCCTTTGCCTTATCTACAATGTCGTTTTCTTTTGAAAAAAAAATCTATGTGATTTATAATCTATCCTCTAGACCTGAAAACTCTAACCATCAGTGAGTCTCTTATTTTGAATTTCTACAACAAGAATGACTAGAAAAATCCTATGATTAAGGCCTACACAGTGCCAAACATTAATTGCATCCAAATAGGTGATGGCATGTGTCCATAAGCTGTGTTTCTTAAGGCAGACACTGATAACCTTCATATGAAACACATCCCACTAACTGTTAGCAGAAGATTGGCAGAGTCAGTCTTCCAGAAATGAAGATGAGCTTGCTCTGGTCTCTTCACAGGTCCTCCAAGGGACTAGTGAAGTAGCCGAACACTCCTATGTGTTCCTTAGGAGCACATACAGGTTGGAACTCATAAACCCAGCCTCAGCATTACCAGGGTGGGATCAACAGAGCCTAACTGCACATAGACAAGCATATGTAGGTCGCCTAAGTCTTTCACTTTAGGCTGTCTAGACAGTAATAAAAGAGACTACTGAAAACCTATACTCCAACTCTGCATTTAGTTTTCTCTGACCCTACTGAGATTTTATTTCTCTTTTCTGAATTGGTGAACTATTTCTTTTTTAATGGAACTAAATGCTTTTGTAAAATTTTATTTTTTTAAATTTATTATTTGATACAGGGTCTCACTACACAGTTCAGACTTATAGTAATCCTCCTGTCTCAACCTCCCCAGTGCTGGGATTATACGCATGTGCCACCATGCCCATTTCTGGGGCCAATACAGCATACGGGTACTGGGGATCGAACCCAGTACCTTGTGCTTGCCAGGCAAGCATATAGACCACAAAGCTATCTCCCCAGGCCTGGTGGACTGTTTCTTCAAATTTATTTGTGAAAATAATTTTGTAAAACAAATTTCATATAAGGTTTCCTTGCTATAGAAAATTAGTGGGCAACAGTTCTTAAAAAAAAAACTCTGTGAGAGTGTCAATATCTGTAGTAGACAGAAACAGGACTGTATTTGATGTAGAATAATGCATTAAGAGAAACACCAGGGACTTACAAAGATGAGTTGACTAACCAGTGAGATAAACCAAGACATTTGGCCATTTAATTCACTTTTCTTTTTTTTTCTTTTCTTTTTTTTTTTCAGAACCAGGGATTGAACTCAGGTCCTTGCACTTTCCAGGGAAGCATTTATTCTACTGAGCCATCTCCATCTTTATTTCATGTTTGATTTGTCCTCTAGTTAAAAGGGCCGACCCCATCTAAGTAATCTTGCTAGTCAACACTCAGAAAGTACAAAGCATGTAATCATGAAATAGCTCGTTACTTTCCAAAAACTATGTATTACAAAGTTCATTTATAAATATTATTATAACGAGTGATAACTAATTCACTGAATAGATATGATGATTAAATGAAGTTATTTCATGTAAAGCACCCAACTAGAGAATTTAAGCATTAGCTAGCACTTACTGCTACTTGAAGGTACATCAAAACAGGAAAAGCCAAAAAGGAGGAAGGAAGATATGCAGAAAAAAACACAAGAAAGAAATTGAAGCATCTTTAAAATTGTGATTCAAAAAATTGTGATTCAAGGGGGCGTCAAAGAAAAGACTACTCAATTTCCTAAAATCCAAATTTCATGTGATTTTTTCAGTGATTTGATGAGGTTTGGGGACCCCGTGTATTGTACCACATATTTTAGTTTTAGCATAATTTTGCTAAAGGAACATCCTTTCACTTTGACAGGGGCAGAGCAGGGACAGAGGCCGATTCTTTCAGTATGCCTTCAAGTAAGAATTGTCACATTTTAAACTGGTTTTCTCTTTTTCACCCCAAAACACGTCTTGTGTTACCTCTGGAAGGTTGCACGTCATACTCATGTATATTGTGATAAATTAAAAACCAACAACATAATTTTCACCTAACATGCAAAAATTTTGTATAGCTTTACTTTCCTTAGAGTAAGTGGCAGTTATGTATACTACTTTTATGCACAATGGTTTGTAGCCATTAGGAGAAAAATGATTATTTGGGAAATAGCTGCAGTTGCTTAAGTGATCTCTATTTTACAGATTAATTATTGTTTCTTAAATCTTCTCTATGTGGTCATTAATTCTTTGTCTTGATTTATGACAGTTTTCTGAGTTAATTACATTTCAAAGACTTCAGAGGCTAGCATTTCATATTATATTAAATGTAAATCTTTCAGTTCTCTAAAATCATTCTTATGAACTTCACTTGTAAATGCATTTAAATATATTTTACAATCATTTAATACAATACTTCAGTCTTCTATATCTATCTGAAACTGCCTCTTTTGTGCTGAAATTTTCAAAGGCTTTCTACCCAGACAGTATGCAGTGGTCCCCTTGAGCTTCAAGGTAGCTCCACACTGCCATCTGGTGGTCACTTGGAGGCTTTTGCATTTCAAATTTCTGCTCTTGTTTCTACGCCTCCTCAAATAAGTGCACAGCCATGATTTCTTTACAAAGATCTCTTTCAGGATGTAACAATCAATTAAAAGAATAAAAGCCCCCTGCTCTATCATTTGGGTTAATAAGAAGTGGTTTTTCATCCTGCAACAAGACTGTGGATATTGGATACACTCATAAGCTTTGTTTTCGAACAAACTCATAATAATGCCCATCCAAAGTGAAAAAGTCAAATGAGAACTAAGTGGCATTCTGGCAACACAACAGTTACATTCACAAGATTTCTAATCACATCATTCGCATTCTTACTACTGGCAGGAAGCTTTAAAATAGGCCAGGGAGCTTTTAAGACAACTCAACATCCGTACCACCCAGAACAGGGTTCAGGCAGTGGTTTACTGCAGGCTGGAGAATAAGAACAAGGAGAGAATGCAATAATGATGTGCTATAAATTTTTGGCAAGACTGGGACAGTGACTGGAAGAGGCATGGCCCAGGCAGGCTAATACTAGGTAATGTGTGAGGGCCATATGGTGAGTGTCCTTGGCCCACATCACAGGTGACAGATGCCATTTGTTCATGGCAAATTGACAAAGGAGAGTGGAAAGAAACTAGGAAATCCTTCAACATAGAGATAATGCAAAAGTGAAACACCGTTTCCTATACAAAGCTCCTTTGCTTCACACCCCGCCACCTGCTGCCCTGTTCATAGGAATAGTTCCTGCTAGTTTGATCAGTTCTGCCTTGATCAAGGGAAGCAATTCTCCTTTTGTGGCCCCAAATCAAGGCTGGATTTCCAGGTCTCCTGCCTTTTGTGCAGAAGGGTTTGCAGAGGTTCAGTGGGAGAGCTGTAGGCTGAGGCAAGATGCCAGTTGCCCACAGATAACAAGCAGCCAAGATTTCTCCACATACCTGTGGATCCCCAAGAATAGTATTGGTGCAAAAGAAAGGAGTGGACAAGCAAATAACCACTGACTTTGATTTCATGGCACTGTCATGCAACTCAAAAGCGGGTAGTTTTCAAAAGAGTAGAAAAGAATATGCATTTCAAAAATCACACTGGATGTTAGAATATAATTTCCTATTTAGAGGGTTGGGGAGATGGCTCAGTAGAATAACCACTTGCCTGGCAAGCACAAGGTCCTGAGTTCAATCCCCAGTACTTGCCCCCCAAAAAAGTGTTTTTAATTTGGGGTCGGGGAGATAGCTCAGTAGAATAATCATTTGCCTGGCAAGCACAAAGTCCTGAGTTCAATCTCCAGTACTTCCAAGAAAAAAAAATGGGTTATTAATTTGGGGTCGGGGAGATAGCTCAGTAGAATAAACATTTGCCTGGCAAGTGCAAGGGCCTGAGTTCAATTCCCAGATCCACTAAAAAAAAATTTAAAAATTTTTAAAAAATTTCCTATTTATAATATTTAAATGTATATTATATGTGTCTATGTGATTCACATCCATAAATAGTTATGTAATTTGCATTTAGGAAAGGAAAAACCACCTATTGCTTGCACAACACAAAGTCCAAAATTAAAGCACAACTAAATCCTTTTGCCTTATAAAGTAATTCTCAAGCAGCTGGGGTAATGTTTCTTCAGGGAGTTACATCAGAATGTCCAGGGATGAAAATTTTTATTTTTATTAAAACATGAAACATGAATCCTAATGAATTAGAGTGTTTTATGAAACAATGCTCCTTTTAGTGTGTGTTTGAAGTTAAAAGCAGCAAATATTTACAAATCACTTATTATATGGAAGACATTGTAACTCAACCAGTGTTCCAAAAACATGGATCACTCTGCAGGAAAGGGGTTGCATAACAAGAGTACTCCTCACTTGAAATGTCATGCTGGGGCCGGGGAGATGGCTCAGTAGAATAAGTACTTCCCTGGCAAACGCAAGGGCCTAAGTTCAATCCCCAGTTCCGCCAAAAATAAATAGATAAATAAAAATGTCTGCTGTCCCAATAAATCAGAGTTTTTCCAAACAAATAATCAGGAATTGAAGCATGACTAGTCAAATATGAGTTGTAAAACAGCAGTAATAATGTTTAATATTCAGCTTTTCGGGAAGACATCTATGTGAAATCAGTACATATGGGTGCCTCTACACTCATAGGTGACCCACACTGCCTTCCCTTCATCTCCTTCCAATCCATCTCCACACTAAGCAGCAATGACCTTTCTAAAACATGGCTCAGTGGAATAAGTGCTTCCCTGGCAAGCGCAAGGGCCTGAGTTAAAAAAAAAAACGACTGGGGAGATGGCTCAGTAGAGTAAGTTCCTCCCTGGCAAGCACAAGGGCCTAAATTCAATCCCCAGTACCGCAAAAGAAAAGTTAAAATTTTAAAAAATAAAATAAAATAAAACACAGACTCGACTCTTCCAGCTCTGCAAGTGTCCTCTCCCCCATCTTGCTTACAACTTTTCAGTGGCTCCCTGTTGTCCACATTGCTTAAGTCCAAACTCGTTAGCACTTCTTAAAAACACAGCATGATCTTGACCCAGCCTACCCAACTGCACTCATGCCTTGCCTTTCCCCACCCCCCCAGCACATACAAAATTTGTTTTACAAAAATCCCATGCTCTCCTTCATGCTAAGACCCTCCCATTCTTGGGCCCACCAGGAGTACTCTCTACTTATCCCCAGCTTCCTCTTTGCTTTCACCCTAGTCATCCTTTATGTGGCAACTTGGGTGTCATTTTTCTTCAGGAAGGCTTCTCCACTTCTTAAGTTTCCATTAACTGTCCTTTTTCCATTTCCCACAGCACTCTAGATTTCCCCAATCATGATATATTTCACACCATATTGTAACTGCTTTACTCTTGTCTTCCTTCTCTATTAAACTGTAAGTTCCACGGGAATAGACACCAGTATTGTGTACTACTGTGCTATTGTGCACTACCGTGTCCACTAGGGCAGTGGAGCTTTCAGTGCTACAAACAGCCTGTTGTGTCACATGTGCCAGAGGTTCACCATCACTTTTCTAGAGTCCAGTACATAACAAGTGCTCAATACATTTCTATTGAATGCATGAATGTATTTACTTTAATCTCCTCAACCCCAGTGGTATATATTGTACCATTCTGTCTTTGTTCCCTTTCAGTCTGTGATGCTTCTCTTACACAGCCAGCGGCGCTACATCTTTGAGTATGACCAATCAGATTGTCTGCTCTCAATCACCATGCCCAGCATGGTTCGTCACAGCTTACAAACCATGCTTTCGGTGGGATACTACAGAAACATCTACACCCCACCAGACAGCAGCACATCTTTCATCCAAGACTACGGTCGAGATGGCCGACTGCTACAGACTCTGCATCTGGGGACAGGGCGCAGAGTTCTGTACAAGTACACCAAGCAAGCAAGGCTCTCAGAGATTCTCTATGATACTACCCAGGTCACATTAACATATGAAGAATCCTCTGGGGTGATTAAGACTGTACACCTCATGCACAACGGATTCATCTGCACGATCAGATACAGGCAAACAGGTTTGTTATGAAGGGGTTGTGACATGTACAATATAAATATTTCCTTATAAATTTTTGGTTGACTTTTGAAAACAGAAGTATCAAAAAAAGAAAATAGAAGCATCAACCTATGCACATCTAGTTCAATAGACTTTTAAGTTATCAAATTTGCTTCCACTGAAATTATCAAATTATCTTCACTGAAAATTTAATATATGCTATGGTGTGCCTGAAAGAGGATTCCTTTGAAAACTACAGTACATTTCTCTCTTTCAGCTTTCAAGAAAGTTGAGCTCTAAGTGCCCAGTCCAGCCATATACACCTTCCCACATACAACCAAATCTTCTCAAAGATGCAGCTACAAGATACGAGTCTCAGTGAAATGAGCTAAAATGCTGTACACTACAGTTGATGATAAAAGTTAGAACTTTCAAGTACATTTTATACTTTGGATTTATAGCATGCCCAAATTCAGTTATATTACTGCTGCTTTATGAAAACGTGAACTTCTGCTTTTGTAGCAAAAGTTAAATGAAAGCATTTTTGTCTATGACTACTGTAGTTTCTCAAATTTAATCATTCCATAATTATACTATGTAATATTGTTCATATTTGGTAACTACTTCTATGAGATGCCCAGGCATCAGAAATCAGAATTCAAGTCATAATATTTTATATTGAATGTTAAAACATCAATAGTAAATAACACTAGGTTTTATGAATTTTTCACATTTATCACCTGATTTTTTTCTGTTTTTTATGCTACCTCCTACAGGACCGCTTATTGGACGCCAGATTTTCAGATTCAGTGAAGAAGGTCTTGTGAATGCACGGTTTGACTACAGCTACAACAACTTCCGTGTCACCAGCATGCAAGCTGTGATCAATGAGACCCCTTTGCCCATAGACCTGTACCGATATGTTGATGTCTCTGGTAGAATAGAGCAATTTGGAAAGTTCAGTGTAATTAATTATGACTTAAATCAGGTGATAACTACTACAGTAATGAAGCACACAAAGATCTTCAATGCCAATGGACAAGTCATTGAAGTCCAGTACGAAATCCTAAAAGCAATTGCCTACTGGATGACTATCCAATATGATAATATGGGTCGAATGGTAATATGTGATATAAGGGTAGGTGTAGATGCCAATATTACAAGGTACTTCTATGAGTATGATGCTGATGGGCAACTTCAAACTGTTTCTGTAAATGACAAAACTCAGTGGCGTTACAGTTATGATTTGAATGGAAACATCAATCTTTTGAGCCATGGGAATAGTGCCCGTCTCACTCCTCTCCGATATGACCTCCGAGACCGCATCACCAGACTAGGAGAAATTCAGTACAAAATGGATGAAGATGGCTTTCTGAGGCAGAGGGGAAATGACATATTTGAATATAATTCTAATGGCTTGCTGCAGAGGGCCTACAATAGGGTTTCTGGCTGGAGTGTGCAGTACTACTATGATGGGCTTGGGCGACGTGTTGCCAGTAAATCCAGCCTAGGGCAGCACCTCCAGTTCTTTTATGCAGACCTTGCCAACCCCATAAGAGTTACTCATCTGTATAACCACACCAGCTCGGAAATTACATCTCTGTATTATGATCTCCAAGGTCATCTGATTGCTATGGAGTTGAGCAGTGGTGAAGAATACTATGTGGCCTGTGATAATACAGGCACCCCACTAGCTGTGTTCAGCAGTCGAGGTCAGGTCATGAAAGAAATATTGTACACACCTTATGGCGATATCTATCATGACACTTACCCAGACTTCCAAGTCATCATTGGTTTTCATGGAGGACTCTACGATTTCCTTACTAAATTAGTGCACCTGGGGCAAAGGGATTATGATGTTGTTGCCGGGCGATGGACAACACCCAATCATCACATATGGAAACAGCTGAACCTCCTTCCCAAACCATTCAACCTCTACTCCTTTGAAAATAACTATCCAGTTGGCAAAGTTCAAGATGTTGCTAAATATACCACAGGTATTTAAATGATATAAAACTTAACGCTAAACTTAAGATAACTTAGTGCTGTTTGTTTTATCAGATAATCTCAATGCCTTTGTAAATGTTTCCTCTTCCTGCCACTCAGCCCACATGTTATTGTGCATTCACTCTCTTCCTTAGTTTTCTAGAGTGAACAAAAAGTACAACTCAACATCAAACATGATGCTTTTGCCTGCTGGTACATTTTTCTTTCCCTCCAAGTTTTTTCTGTGTTTCACTCTTAAAAACTCAAATAAGTTAATTCTTCCTTCCTTCTTTCCTTTCTTTCTTTTATTTTTAAAGAGGAAAAGCAAAAACAAATAACAATAACAAAGACAAAAACAAAACAACTTAAAATAAAATGGTATGGTACTACAAAACAAGAATAGAAAATTAACAATGGTTGTTAGACTACACATTTATATCATCAAATTTGTTGCTCAGATTACCAGATATAGGCATGCAAGACTGATCAAACAATTAAACATTAACTTTCCTTTCAATAAGACATTAGAAATAATACACACATAAAAAAACAAGGAGAAATCTGCAATCTGAGCATTGAAGACAGAAAGTTATTTCTTAAAAGAAAAATTGAAGATTATATTGAATGCAAAAACTCTAGTATCACAGTCCATGTGGTCTTGGAACCATTATCACATTAAGAGTTTCAGTACAGTGGGCTGGGGAGATGGCTCAGTGGAATAAGCGCTTTCCTGGCAAGAACAAGGGCCTCAGTTCAATCCCCGATTCAGCAAAAAACAAAAACAAAACAAGAGTTTCAGTGCAGTAATCTGAGCCTTTGTCTGGGATTATCCACAAATGGAAAGTTTTCCCTGTAAAGGGGACATAATATGATTCAGAGGGAAGTGTATAAGGCAAATTGTATCCCTACCTCCCACTGCCTAAACTGATTGAACATAGGAAGGGCATCTTTCAAAATCTTCAACAAAGGTTGTAAACTATGGACTTTTAAAATGTTTTCCCTTTTCAATGTTGTATCCTACAGACATTGGAAGTTGGTTGGAGCTATTTGGTTTCCAGTTACACAATGTACTACCTGGATTTCCAAAGCCAGAATTAGAAAATTTAGAACTAACTTATGAGCTTCTACAGATTCAGACAAAAACTCAAGAGTGGGATCCTGGAAAGGTCAGTAAAAGTTTACTATTTTCACTTAGCTGGGGGAAAAAACAGAAAAAAAGGAAAAGAATAGTTATTTGGGGCCCTTAAAATAGGAAAAACTAATAGGTTGCTTGATAACTACTTCAGGATATAAACAATGGAAAATACAAACTGAATTTTTAAATTTCTGAAATGGGCTACCTAGGGTGATTATGGATTCTCTATAGAGAAAACTGCTCAGTAAAAGACCTAACTATAGGCTGGGGATATAGCTCAGTGGCATAAAGTGCCTGCCTGGCAAGTGCAAGGCCCCAAATTCGATCCATGGTACTGCAAAAAAAAGAAGAAGAAGATTAAAAAAGAAAGAAAAGAAAAGAAATTAGAAAAAGACCAAAAATATCAATCTTTAGCTGTCAAATAATTTAGATTGGTGCCTGAAAATATTTTGCTAAAGAGTAAATACACATGCACAATAAACAAATATAATGCATTTGAGATTTAGCAGATTATTTTTTCGAGAATCTGAGGTAAAAATAAAAACTAAAAGGAACAGGAATATATGTGTTTGCTAAAAATGGTTTTAGCAACAAAGTAAAACTAAAATTTTGTTAGGAAGACTTGAAACGTATTTTTTAATTTTCTTTAATTTTTAATTTTTTTTGTATTTTAGGGAAGCATCTACAGGGTGTTCAGGGTCTCACTACTAGATCAGACTCATAGCAATCCACTTGTTTATAGCCTCCCAAGAGCTGGGATTACAGGCATGCACTACCACACCCAGTCTCAATTGCCATCTCAGTGTGCTCCAGGGGTGGGGCCAGCATGGCAGGCCCAGGGATCGAACCCCCTGCCCCTGGGCCTGCTTGCAGGCACTTTAATCCACTGAGCTATTTGGCCAGCCCTCAAGAGTTGAAATTTAAATTTAATATTTAAAAGAGAAACGACATTCTTAAAAGGCACTGTAAAATAAAATAAATAAATAAATAAATAAATGAAAATAAAAACATTTGGACCAGCAAGATAGATCAGCAGCATAAGCACCTACCTGGCAAGCATAAGGTCCCAAGTTCAATCCCTGGTACCACAAAAAAAGGAAAGAAAAAGAAAGAAAATTCACATGTAGTCCATGTAAATACATATAATATGTGAATGTTTTTGTAATTAAAAATTCTTTTAAAAGTCTAACTGAATGTTTAAAATTACTGAAGCTTCATAGTGTATACTATGGGATTCATTAGTCTTTTTCTTTGCATATTTGAATATTGCTTAATTAATTTTTTTAAAAAGCAAATAAAAAGATTAGTCAATGTCTTTTTTGCCATAGTTATTTATAAGGTCATAAGCTGTTGAAAGTAGGAACAGTGCCTTATGCATTTCTTTAGGCATGGCTGTGCTTGTTTGACTACGTGCAGTAATCAGATCTATTCTGGGTCCATTCTGGTAGTCAAGTTTGTTAAAATAAGATATCCATATTGTGGAGAAGCTGGACCCACAAAAATGATCTTCCAGCTCTCAAATCCCATGATATCATTTCAACACAGCTTCTTAACATTCAATTCAAGATAAAAGAGTGCTGGGTATTTAGTCACCTGTTAGTCTTTTCCCACTCTGCTGAAGAGGTTCCAGGTTTGGCTTGTTTTTTAATGACTCATCAACAAATTAGAGAGAAGGAAGCCACTTGACCAGCCTTTGTTGTCAATAATCACTAAGCCTGCTTCAGGTGCCCAAGCCTGTGCTGCACTTGCGCTGTGCCCTCTTCTCTCCTAGGTGATCCTGGGGATTCAGTGTGAGCTGCAGAAACAGCTCAGGAATTTCATTTCCTTGGACCAACTCCCCATGACGCCCCGATACAATGAGGGGCGGTGCGTTGAAGGAGGAAAGCAACTAAGGTTTGCTGCTGTCCCTTCTGTCTTTGGAAAAGGTATTAAATTTGCCATCAAGGATGGCATAGTCACAGCTGATATTATAGGCGTAGCCAATGAAGATAGCAGGAGGCTCGCTGCCATTCTCAATAATGCTCATTATCTGGAAAACTTACATTTCACCATAGAGGGGAGGGACACTCACTATTTCATTAAGCTTGGTTCTCTGGAGGAAGATCTGGTGCTCATTGGTAACACTGGGGGGAGGCGGATTCTGGAGAATGGCGTCAACGTCACTGTGTCCCAGATGACGTCGGTGTTGAATGGGAGGACTAGACGGTTTGCCGATATTCAGCTCCAGCACGGGGCCCTGTGCTTCAACATCCGGTATGGGACAACTGTGGAGGAAGAAAAGAATCACGTGTTGGAGATTGCCAGACAGCGCGCTGTGGCCCAGGCCTGGACTAAGGAACAAAGACGGTTGCAAGAAGGGGAAGAGGGGATTCGGGCATGGACGGAGGGGGAAAAGCAGCAGCTTTTGAGCACTGGGAGGGTGCAAGGTTATGATGGGTATTTTGTTTTGTCTGTTGAGCAGTATTTAGAACTTTCTGACAGTGCCAACAATATTCACTTTATGAGACAGAGCGAAATAGGCAGGAGGTAACAAAAAAAATCTCTGCCTTTGCGTCACCAAAGACTGCCTGTTTTTAAAACATAAAATGGTTTATTGTATTGGTTTTCTAGATCAGAATTCTGTATATGTAAATATGGAGGAAAAACATATCCAACTGCCTTTCAATGTGACAAAAGATGGTATTTTAATATTGTTTATTTAAACTCTTTAAGAAATAAGAGATTTTTAGTTCTTGTGTGGCAGTATTCAAAATAACACAAGCAGAACTATAATCTGTGAAAAAAAACACTTTCAGAAAGCACCACTTTAAATTTGCCAAGCCACGCATACGCTCAACTATATACAAAGAACCCAAGGTGCCCTATCTCTATTTTGACAGCAAGTTTTGTATTTAGGTGTTGGCAGAACTTGCAGACTATTTGGAAAGGTGGTGCAATAGTATCTAAACTTTGCATCTCAAAAACTGCCATTCCTTTTACATTTTCTGGATCTACTATAGAAAATTTCAAATGAAGTGTAAAATATCCTCAGCCACCATCTCCTAGAATCTGGAACCATTTTTCCTCCCATCTTGATTATTCCTCCTTGCTTGTTCAAGTAAATGCCATGTTGTTGTGCAGTGTTTTGGTGTGTAGTGGCTGGATTCTGGCTACCATACCTCTCCATGGTGTGGTAAGCAGACTAAGGAGTCACTGTTTGCCATGTGTATGTGATACCAAAGCAGCTGGCCAGTGTGATTTCTCCCATGTAACCTGTTTTAACTCAGTTTTTAGCCAATCGTCAAGCTGCATCGGTGTCATGTAAACATAGCTTTTATTAACCTCGGTAGGAGTTTCTCAGTTCTATATAGGGTGTGTTTTGGTCATAGTTTCACATTAGTGCTTCAGTATTCATACACTAATCCAATGGTTTTGTGCACATGAAAGGTAATTTACTAAAAAGTATGATTCTGACACAAAAGAAGCTTTAGCAGGCCGACATGCCTGGGATGTCAATAAATACATTAACGACTCCTGCAGAAATTCATAAAAGCCAAAACTTTTTTTAAAAAAGCCTAGAAGGAAACAAAAGAAAAATATAGGACCAAAGGAAAAACCAAAGGAGACATCACAGTAGTTGCTACCACATTGTTTTAACCCACCTAGATTTATCTTTCAAATGTACAATTCTATATTAAACCTCTCCCACCTGTATTCAGACAATTGAACTAAAGGAACCCTTTCCAACCTAAAGCATGTCAATTAATTAAAAAGAGGTATACTACTTTTTACAAACAGAACTTATATAGTTCTGCCTTTACTTCTTTATTTTCATTTAATCATTTCTTCACCCATTTAATTGTATTAAAATAACTTTTTCAAAGCAAATTATTTGTTCTGCGATCACTTCCTGGTGGAAGGAAGATCAGGAGTACTGTTAATACGAGCTGCAGTTCTCATTCTCCACAAATCCTGTGGTAAAAGAAGCTCCTGGTTGAGCTGGGAGATTAGTGCCCCATGACCAAGGGAAAGTTTGTAAGATGCTGTGTAATTCTAAGTTACTGCAAATGAAATTACATGACAGTACAGTGTGGCCTGGAGATAATTTCCCGGAGCCAGCTCCTGCACTTCCATCACTGAGTCGAAACACTTATGTCTGTGGGAGAACTGATGGGAGAATGTTCATTTGGATTTTTTCCAGCTACTGCCTAAAAACAGTTTGGGGTCACTGCCTTACTTTATAATGACAGTTTCACTGAAAATATGTGAAGTCAGGGTCCCAGCTCATATTAAATTTTCTAAGGAGTCTGCCTCTTACTATACAAAGAAAGGAGAGGAAAGGGAAGGACCCCAGTAGATAATAAGGGAGGGTGTATTGAAGCATTTCATTTTCAAAATGTTCAGGTTAGGATTGCCACATTCTTACACGTGTGTCCCGAGACAGAAAGATACAGAAAATTCATGATGAATTTATCTCTTGGTATTGCAAGTTTACCAGCACAAGATACTGCTAATCCAGGCTAAAATTTATTTTGGGTTTTTTTCTGAATTAGGCTTGTCTTATAAGGTATAGTATTCAGGTTGGAACTCTAAAATTACTGACAAACCTGTTGAAAATTTGAATACCTCCACACCAACCTAAAAGTAGACCTTAAGTTCCTAGAACCTCTGATGTTCTTTTAAATTAATGGAACAACAATTTGTAGAGTGCATTCATAAATGTGATGATGTATTTTATCACTGATCCAAGATGTCAATATTAGAGTCTATTTTGCTTATATTTTAAGTGATTATACTTTTTGCAATTTACTGATGATGTATCATTTTCAAACTGCTTTAAATATCATTAGAAACAAATATTTGAAGCTTTTACTTAATAGTAATTACCTTGAACTGTGCATTTCTAGTTTGTAATACATATTTAGTTAGTTTGTGCCTTTAGTTTCTTAAATTATATTTGTATTATATTCAGGAAATGCACTTTTTATCACTTATAGCTGTGGTTTTAATACTGCCTTGAACTACTACTGCTGTTCTCTTTACAACTCCTAAAGTTTTTGAGAGAAAAGAAAAAAACAACTAAAAGGCTAGCACTAATGAGTAGTAAATCTAAGAGAATTGTTTTGGAATTTCTTAATAGGAGCATGGAGATATTCAGTAATGCCACTTCCTAGTCAGCTGGATAGAAAGAATGCCTTCATTGACTTGTACTTCTGAAGTTTGAATTAACAAAAAAATCCCCAATATATTTGTAATTCCTGATGAAAGTAAAAGCATTTTCTAGAGGAATGTATGACTTTCTCACACCCAGAAGACGAGTGGCTGACACTGTACAGCTACACACCATTCGAGTAAATGAAGTGAGCACACAGTGGTTGGACTCTCCTATGCAGAGCATTCTGAGGTTGAGGCAGGGAATACTCCATGGTTGGTTTTGTTTTCTCAGTTAGGCCCACTTAATTTGGGTTTGGGTTTTGTTTTATTTTCACTCTTGCACTGTAGTCTAGGGATCCAAATGAGCTGAAAAGTTCAAAGTTTAAGAGATATTTACATGTTTCTTTTTAGTCATTCTAATCATTGTTGATTAGCAGCATGACTCCTGAAGGAAAATGGAATAGAGCTCAATTCATACTAATTTTAAACAAAACATCATAGAAATGTTTTATTTTTAACCCAACAAAATAATGTATAAGATAAGAGTGTCATGTCATTTATTGTCAATTTATCTAGAATATCTATAATATGTAGACTACATATACATAATTTACGCAACATAGCCAAATGTATGAAAATTTGACAATGTATAATTTGGAATTCATGTCCTACTTACATAGAGAAGTATCAAATTAAGTTATAACTTTCATAAGATTTTTCAGCACTGCTGACACAGTTTGAGGCACTCTACCATGTTATTTCTATTCTTTGCCTTTCTTTCATTTTTCACACTAAGTTTTTACCAGACCAGGCCACACTGTAATATCTCTTGAGAGAGTCAGGGCAAAGTCTTTGCATTTATGAAGATGCATTTGTGTTAAGGCAATTTCATGGAGTTATGTGGCAATGGAAGCAAAAATATAGTAATCAACTATTAAAAGAAAATTGTGGTGAGACTGGAGTATTATTATAGCTTGTGGGATAACATGAAGCTACAGACTGGATGCAGCATTCTTGTTTTCTTGAAGGTATTCACATACACTTTACTGACCTGACTAGTACTTCAGATGTCAGACTGCTCTTCCACAGCCTTCTGTAAAGTTCTTTACTGTGCAAAGAAAACAAAAACAAAAAGAAAAGCAAAACCAAAAAAAAAGAAAAAGAAAAAAAAGAACAAAAAAAAAGCAAAATGATTTAAAAAAAGAAAACAACAAAAAAAAGAATTCAACTGCAAAGTAGTGACTATTATTTCAGTGTGTCCTTCATATGAAAGCTATTAAGGACCAAATATACTGCTGTGTGTATGAAGAAATTACTTGCTGAACAGTAACTGAAAATACTTAGCATTAACTTGCTGTGGATTTTGTCTTGGCAGTTGTCACCTTACATTATTTGTCAAAGGAAATGTGTTTGGCACTTAAAAATCTTTCCTTAGATTTAGTGGTGGACTTTAACCTCTTAAGTAAATGTTAGTATATCAGATTGTGTCCTTGAAAAATATTTTACTTGTATGAATCATGACAATGTCTAAATCTTTACTATTCTTCTGGCAAAAGCATCAGTGAGAGAGAAGGAGAGAAAGAGAAGTATAGCCTTTTCATCCGAAAAAAATACTCTATTTAGCTGCTTACTTTCTCTTGAAAAGTGAAGATGTTTACAGTGTATGCCAAGATTTTCAGTTTCTATATAACAACAGTTAGAGGTTCTAATCATACTGAAAATTATGTTATAATGGCCTGAGCCATGTTGCTAGGAAACAATAGGTTCCAATTTTGTATTCCTGCTCTCACTCCTATGCTGAAAAGTGACTGGATACTGTACAGGTACATGTTCTGTGGCTGCAGTTAAATGGTCTTTTGCATTTTGCTCTGGCTTTCAGGCCAGAAGCATGCATTTTTCTACAAGAGCATCACAACACCATGCTGTAAATATTTAAAGTTCAACATTATGTGTCGATCTTTGAAAGAAAAGTACTTTGAATATTTCATTTTTAAAAAATAAAGTTGCAAATGAGCACCGTGTCCCATTTTTTTATTCATGCGCCAAACTGCATTCTCAAATCAGTCTGCTTACCTGCAATAGGAAAAGTGGCTCCCTGACAGGAAACAATAAAAACCAGGTCATCTTGAAAATATAGGTGCAGAATTCAAAAAGGCACTCATTCTAGTTGGACATCTCTTCATTTTCATTCATACAAATAAAATCTTTCATACAAATGAGCACTTAATAAACAAAGAGTAACTGCTACCAGTATAAATGCCTCTAGGCTAAGACATTTTCTAAAAGGTTTCATTCTCTCCTTTTTGTGACTCTTTCAGAAATAGAAAATTAAAATTTGTAGGTCCAGCCAAATAGCTCAGTGGATTACAGTTAGGCAGACACAGGGGCGTGGAGTTCAACTGCGTGCCAGCTCCCCCTCAAGGAACGCTGAGACGGCAACTGAGACTGGGTGTGGTGGCAGATGCCTATAATCCCAGCTCTTGGGAGGCTGTAAACAGGAGGATAACTACAAGTCCAATCTATGCAGTGAAACCCTGTATACCCCTGTACACTCTGTCCTAAATACAAAAAATTATTTAATTTGGAAAAAAAAAGGGGGTAAGAGAAAACTAGGAGACAAGAATGTTCAAATCATTGGCAATGATAATAATAAATATGGGGTGGGAGGAGCATGAAAATGTTTTAGAAAAAAAAAATTTGAGGCCTACACCACAGGCCTTTTGCCTCTTGTTTTCCACAGTGGTACACTTTAAAGTGACACTGAAAAAGCTGGCCAAAAGATCTTCAAAAACTCAACTTCATACTACTGAGGTGCATATAGTCCAAACAGTCCCCTATGAAACTTGGTTTTATAGTATTGCAAAATGCCTTGCTGTACTTTATTCACTGATACACACATACAGATATGATTCATTATGCAGAAGGTAACCTTGATTGTCACAGCATTGCCCATCAGCAAAAGGGGAGGGAAATATTTGTATCACTTGTGCACTTTTACCAAATATATATCCCACCCTTCTCTCCAATCATCAAAAAAAAGCAGGAGCTCCTACATTCGTACATTTATTAAAGACCTTTCTCCGTATTCTTTCCTTATTTGCCCTCACTTTCAGAAATTTAAATATCACCGCAAACATGTACTACCTTAAAGTTATTCAGTACCTCAATAATCCTATGGTGTACAACTTAATTAATTCTATTTGGCAAGTGTAATAATAATACCAGGCTGACTTACATAAGGTTACAGGAGTAATCAGTGACAGAGATGAAAAGCAACTTCAGATCTCATGCATTCTGGATTTAATTCTTTCTATCCATTGCTGAGTGTGGTATCATTTCTCATCATCTTGTATGAGAACAATTTCATTCTCAAGAGATGGTGTAATAT